TTTTTTTTTTTTTTTTTTTTTTTTGTCTTTTTTTTGAGCCAGGGTCTCGGTATGCAGTTCAGGCTGGACTTGTGCTCACTTTGTAGCCCAGGCTGGTCTCGAACTTGCAACAATCCTCCTGCCTCAGCCTCCTGAGTGCTGGGATTACAGGCATGCGCCACCATGGCTACATAACACATGGCTACATAACACATCTTAACTTCCTTTTTACATCCCCTTTCCCTTTTCTCCCTCCCCTGTCGCTCCATCTCTTGGTCCCTTTCCATTTGTGAAAGATCTAGCTCCCTGAGAATAGAACACATAAAAAAAAAGTGTGTAGGTGGCCGGGTGTGGTAGCCCACACTTGTAATCCCAGCATTCTGGAGGCTGAGGCAGGAGGATCGTTGAGAGTTCGAGACCAGCCTGGGCTACAAAGTGAGCTCAAGATCAGCCTGAACTGTATAGGGACACCCTGTCTCAAAAAAAAGTGTGTAAAGGGGGAGGTGTTGCTTGGCCCGGAGGTCCTGGGTTCAAACTCCAACTCTGCACACACAGACAGGAAATTATTCAGGGCCCTTCCTTAAAGCACGGTCTATTCAGGACCCTTGAGACAGGTACGGGCCCTCAGCAGAGGGGTTTCGCAGTGGGGAATTTGGACTTCAGCACCTGGGCGGGAGGGAAGATCTAGCAGAGGAGCTGGGCTGGGCGCGTGGGAAATGTCTAGGAGGAAACACGCAGGGTGAGGGGTTCGGTCTAAAGCCACCTAGTTTGGTTTTGGCTGAAGCCAGGTCGGGGCGACCCCACAGCATCTGGAGGGGGAGCCCGAGCGATATGGGAGTGGGGGGCTCCGGCTAACGCTGGAATCCCAGGAGACGGTTCAGGAGCCTAAATTTGGTCAAGCAAAAGTCTGGCGCCGCTCCCCATACACACCCGCTCCTGCCGCACTCAGACTGCGGAGGAGCCGGCCGCGCCGGGGAGGGAGGGAGTGGAGGAGAAACCTGATTCAGGCCCTGCCGGGCTCTTCCAGAACATCCAGTCCGATGGTCTCACCGACCGATGAAGAAAATGAGTCACGGTGCCGGCGCCGGTCAAGGTCAAAGCCACCCGCGTCCCCCGACTCCCAGGCTGGACTGCCTTCCTGCTAGCAGCCGTGGGAGCAGGGCCAACGGGCGATCCCAGCCCTGCCACTGGCCCCTCTTTGGCCCGCTGCAGCGGCGAGGGGAGTGGGGTACCCTCCAGGCCAGCCCAGGGGCGGACAACTGGAGGTGGGCTTTTGCATCCGAACTCCTAGGGAGAGAGACGACGTCTAGATGCTTCCAGAAAGACCCGGATTTCAGACCGGGTCTCTGGCGCAATCCGTCAGCTGTGGGCGGCCTCTCCGCGAGCCCCGCTGCTGCCCGAGGACTCCAGCGCCTTCTCCGAGGCGGGGCTGAGCGCGGACCGCCGAGTGGGCGTGGCCGAGCCGCCGTCCTCCTCCCAGAAAAACCGCCGGCGGGAGCTCGGTGCCTTCCTGTGGAGCCTGCCAGATTGTCAAAGAACAGTGGGGCGGGTGGGCACGGCCACCATCCCTGGTCCTGCTTACCAAGTCTGGGTGGGGGAACGAAGGGCACCTGGTCAGGGCTGTGAACGGCCCCAGAGGGCCTGCCCACCCGACCCTTCCGGTGCCCTGCCCCTGTGCCCACAGATGGCCGCGCTCTGCCAGTCTCTCCCAGGCCTGCCGGAGAAGCGGAGAAGCGGGAGGCCTGAGCTCCAGTCCCTCGGCTCCTTACCAGCTTCACGGCCTTGGGGCAATCTGACCCCTCTGTTTTCTCCTCTGAAAAATGGGACTCTGACAAGCTACTGTGATATTCCATAAAGCACATACAGTGGGTAATCCTCATTATTCTAAATCTCAGTACCCAAAATGGGAGCCCTTGGGCCCCACACTGCGGGGGTGGGCGCCCTGGGCACTGGGCCATATGCTGTCTGGGACTCACTGGAACCCTGTTAAGATGGGCAGGCGCCTTATTAGCCCTGCTTTGCAGATGGGGGGCGGTGCAGGGAGGTGAACAGCAGCACCCAGAGTCAAGCCCAGCCCTGCCTGACCCCAAAACCCAGTTTCTCTCCGTCCTACCCCACTTCTCACCCTGTGCTGCCCAGAGCCACAGCGGCCCCTCCCTTGTGATGGGCAGGTTGATTTAAGAACCAGCCCATCAGTCAGGCGTGATAGCTCCTGCTTGTAATCCCAGCATTCTGGGAGGCTGAGGCAGGAGGACTGCAGTTTTTTTCTTTTCTTTTTTTTTTTTTTTTTTTTTTTTGGTACCAGGAATTGAACTCAGGACCTTGCACTTGCGAGGCAGGCACTTGTGCCACTGAGCTATATCCCCAGCGTGGACTTCAATTTCAAACCCAGCCTGGGCAATCTAACAATTTAGCAAGACCATCTCTAAATAAATAAATAAATAAGGCTGTGGACGTAGCTCAGTGGAAAAGCCCTAGTTTCATTCCTCACTACCACCCGCGTGCGCGCGCGCGCGCACACACACACACACACACACACACCTGGCCTATTGAAGATAAATGTGGATCCAAGTGAGCAGAGTGGTTGGCACACCCCGCATTGCACAACTTGCCCCAGCTGGGCAGCAGAAGGGGCTCCTCCCTGCCCTGGATCTAGGGGAGGATGAAGGGACCACGTGTCTACAAAGTGCTGGTAGCCAGGCGGACAGCACCCCCACAGCGTGGCTGGGCCTGACAGGGACTCACTTGAAAGCATCCATAACCACACCTGACAGCACCCTCGAGGGTGGGGCTCCCTGGGCTCCAGTCTGGGCCAAGGTGAACAGGCAGGGGCAGATAAGCACCCTCCCTGCCTTCTGACCTCACCCCGAATTTACAGAGCTGGACTGGGTGGGGCTGGGAACCCAGTGGAACAAAGGCTTAGGCCATCTCAAGCAGAGACCCTTGTGGGAAGCCAGGGGCTCCCAGTGAGACCCTCAGGCAATGACAGGACCCGGCAGGGGAAACAGGGCACAAGGTAGAGGTCCTGGGTGTTTTCTGCCATTGGCCTGACCACCCCGGGGTCTCAGTAGCCTCTCCAGAATGACCTCAGACTCATATGACCTCTATCCAATGGGAGCAGGTGGGCTGGAAAGAGAGGTCCCTGTGAGCTCTCTCTCCAAAAGAAAATAGACCAGGCATGGTAGCACATTCCCATAATCTGAGCACTCTAGGAGCCTGGAGTAAGAGGATCACAAATTGAAGCCCAGCCCGGGCAACTTAGCACGACCCTATTTTAACATTTAAAAATTTAAAAAGTTAAAAGGGGCTGGAGATGTAGCTCAGTGTGAAGGCCCTGGGTTCAACCCCTGGCAATCCCTCACTCCCCTCCCCCCCAAAAAAAAATGAAAAAGGAGGAAACGGATTCAGAGAAGGCACTACTTTTTTTTCGGTCTTTTTGAGATAGGGTCTCACTATGCAGTTCAGGCTGGTTTTGAACTCACTTTGTAGCCCAGGCTGGCCTTGAACTTGAAACAATACTTCTGCCTCAGCCTCCCGAGTGCTGGGATTATAGGCGTGCGCCACCATGCCTGGCGAGATTTAGCTACTACCAAAGCTCTTGAAAGTGAGTGTCTTTAGCCAGGCGTGGTGGCACATGCCTGTAATCCCAGCGCTCAGGAGGCTGAGGAAGGAGGATCGCGGCAAGTTCAAGCCAGCCTGGGCTACCAAGTGAGCTCAAAATCAGCCTGAACTGCACAGAGAGACCCTGTCTCAAAGAAAAAGTGTCCTGGAGCCCAGCTACGAGCCCTCAGGTATCCCAAGTCTGGGGCTGCACAGGACAAGGCCTAAATGGCCTTGGCCCCCTATAGAACTGGTAGGAGTAGAACTTCAGCCCAGGATGGGATGGCAACAGGGTGGGTCTGCGACAGAAAGAAGTGGGGAGCCAGGGTACTAGTGAGGCAAGAGGCTGTCTCTCCTGTTCTACTAGGACAGGGGCCCATCACTTAATATCTCTGAACCCCAGTTTCCCTGACTAAAAGAAGATCACAGAACCTTAAGTCAGAGGAGAATCAGGTTTGACAGGAGCCCAGGGGTAGCACTTCTCTTGCAGCTAGAGGGGGGCCTGGACCCCAGAGATGATCAGGTGGAAGAGGAGAGATTAAGAGGCAAGTTTGTGCAAACTCTGCCACTTGGACCCCTACTTGGCCCTCTGTGCTGTGGAAATCATGAGCAAAAAGGGTTTTGAGATCATCATTTGCAAAAAGCAACTGGGGTCTAGTGAGGAGTGGCCTTGCTTAAAACCACACAAGAAGCCATGGCAAAGCTGGGACTAGATACATATTTGTTGCACTTGAGATTTCCTGGCCAGGGTGGGAGATTTATGGCCACTTTTGTTGTCTTGTTTTGTTTTGCTTTTTTTTTGAGACAGGGTCTCCATATGTAGCCCAGGCTGGCCTCGAACTCACAGCAATCCTCCTGCCTCAGCCTCCCGAGTGCTGGGATTACAGACATGAACCACTTGATAGCCACTTTTATCCTGACCTGTTCCCCTCAGCCCTGGGCCTTGGGGCTTCTGATCTAGGCCAGTCCCACTGCCTGGGGCAGAAGGGAAATTGCTAAACCCCACCAACCCTCCAATTCCAGATAGATAACCGTAACTAACAATTATGACACACCAGGCCCCGGGCTAACGTCTTCACTTGGATGAAGTCAGCAATTCTCAAGCTAACCCAACAATTTAAGCATTATTCTTATCACCTCTGAGTTCCAGCTGGTAAACTGAGGCAGAGTCTAATTTGCACAAGGTCACCCCCCTTGGTGGCAGAATCAGTGAACTCAGGCAAGTCTGGTCCTGGAGCTCACACTCCTAACGACCACACTGGGCTGCTTTTGGTCAGATGCCACCACAGGCCGCTTGTGGTTCAAGCTGGTTCTGTCACTGAGGGTGGTGGTGAACTTAATTCCAGAATTCTAGAAGGCTGAGGCAGGATCATCGAAAATTTGAGCCCAGCCTCGGTAATTGGATGAGTCCTTGTCTCAAAAAAACAAAACAAAACAAAAAACTGGTTGGGGATGTAGCTCAGAGCAAAGGCCATGGGTTCATTCTTCAGTGGGGGTGGGGGGATCTGGCTGTGCCGCTTCGAGCGCCGGGCACTACTCCAGCCCCGATGCGGGTCATTTGTTTTCTTTCACAAGGGAAGTTTCCAGATGTGGGCAGAACCTTCCTGGCCCCGCCCGCTGCTTCTAGCAAGCCCGAGTGTGTGTCCGAAGAGGTGGGGAATGCAGGGGGAGGGACAGCCCGAAGCTGGTCATTGCCATTAATAGAGACCTTGAAGCACCGCCTGCTAAAAATACCCGGCTGGAGACCTATAAAAGCGCAGCCGAGGGGGCCCTGGTCCAGCACTTCTCCGAGTCTGCCCGACGCGCGCAGTGGATACGAGTGGACCCGATCCAGATCCAGAATGACTGAGCGCCGCGTGCCCTTCTCCTTCCTGCGGGGCTCCAGCTGGGACCCTTTCCGCGACTGGTACCCGGCGCAGAGCCGCCTCTTCGACCAGGCCTTCGGGCTGCCGCGGCTGCCCGAGGAGTGGTCGCAGTGGTTCGGGGGATGGCCGGGCTACGTGCGCCCGCTGCCCCCCGCCGCCGCCGAGGTCGCGCCCGCCTACAGCCGCGCTCTGAGCCGGCAGCTGAGCAGCGGCGTCTCCGAGATCCGGCAGTCGGCCGACCGCTGGCGAGTGTCCCTGGACGTCAACCACTTCGCCCCGGAGGAGCTGACGGTGAAGACCAAGGACGGCGTGGTGGAGATCACGGGTGAGGACCCTGCTCTGTCCCCACGGGATTCCCCGGGCGCGGAAAGTCAGCCTGGACAGGGAGGCACGCGCCCTGCTCCTGGCCCACTTCCCTCTCTCGGAACGCGGGGTGCGGCGTGCTCCTAAGGGCCCTAAAGGGGAAGAAACAGCGGCCCTCCCACCTGAGACCCTCCCTCTCGGCGGCCCCTGACCTAAGGAGCAGCTCCTCCCTTGGCGCGGTCCGGGTCGCCTACCTACCCCCGGCCCGGAGGGGGCGTGTGCGCCGCTCTGTGCGCCTGCGCGTGCCCGGCTCCCCCCCGGGCGAGCCCAGCCGCGCCCCCACCGGTCCCCAAGCCCGACATCGAACTTTCCCGAAAGTTTGGGGAAGGTGCCCAGTTAGGCAATCCCCCCTGTCCCCAAACTCCTCGAGCAATGTCTGCCTGGAGATCCAGCCACCCCAGAGTAGGTGGTGAGGCCTCTGGCCAGCGCGGACCATAGGGACACGCGCAGCCTCTGACCTCCTTCCCACCCCCCGCAGGCAAGCACGAAGAGAGACAGGACGAGCACGGCTACATCTCCCGCTGCTTCACCCGGAAGTACACGTGAGTTCTGGGGCCGCTCGGGGTGTGCGGGGTGGGGACGGAGCTCGGGAACCCGACGGGGGCCTTTAACGCTTGCTGTCTCTTTCTGCACATCCAGGCTGCCCCCGGGTGTGGACCCCACCCTGGTCTCCTCCTCCCTGTCCCCTGAGGGAACGCTCACCGTGGAGGCCCCGCTTCCCAAGGCGGTCACGCAGTCAGCAGAGATCACCATCCCTGTCACCTTCGAGGCCCGCGCCCAGATTGGGGGCCCAGAGGCTGGGAAGTCCGAGCAGGCTGGAGCCAAGTAGAGGTTGTCCCCTGCTGCCCACCCCTAGTAGCTGTCACTGGCCCTCCCCCTCCGCCGATCTGTATGCTCTTTTGATACATGTATCTTCTGTTTTTCTCAAATAAAATTGGAAGCAAACGCTTATCACTGCTTAGCCTCTGTAAGAGGAGGGTGGGGCTGAAGCGAGTGCCCTCAGGGCCTTCCCAGTTCTCACCTTGGCTGAGGGCTGGCTGTGTGCTGAGCCCCCTGCCAGGCCCTGGGGACACAGCCCTGTGTCACATTCCTGAAGGGAGAGGGAGTGACAGCAACCTGGCAATTACACATCTCCAGGGCCAAGAGTGGGGCCCAGGAAGCTGGGAAAAGCACCTGTCCCCAGCATAGGCATCCAGGGGCTTAAGCTGGGGTCAGGGAAAAGGGACAAAGGAGGGGAGATCCTGACAGCTCAACTTCTCTTATCTGTTTTATTTTCCTCCCAAAGAGGGGCAAGAGCATGGAGAATGTATGGGAGGTGTGGCAGCTTCAGGTAGCTTTGAAGGTGTTTGTTTTAGGGGTTTTTTGAGACAGAGTCTCATTATGTACTTCAGTCTGGCCCTGCTCTCACTGTGTAGGGCCTTGAACATGTGATCCTCCTGCCTCAGCCTCCCAAGTGCTGAGATTACAGGCATGTACCACCATTAGGTGGTTTTTCTTTCTTGTTTTTGTTTTGTTTTGTTTTTGACAGTATCCCTATGTAGTTTAGTTCAGGCTGGACTTGAACTCATTATATAGCCAAGCTGGCCTCAAACTCAGTGATTCTCCTGCCTCAGCCTCCCAAGTGCTGAGATTACAGGCATGTACCACCATTAGGTGGTTTTTCTTTCTTGTTTTTGTTTTGTTTTGTTTTTGACAGTATCCCTATGTAGTTTAGTTCAGGCTGGACTTGAACTCATTATATAGCCAAGCTGGCCTCAAACTCAGTGATTCTCCTGCCTCAGCCTCCCAAGTGATTATAGGAATGCACCACCTGGTCATCAGGTGGCTTTTTGAGGAGGGATTGGCCCAGTCAAAGGCCTCATCCTCCAATGCCCAGGCAGGCAGGATGAGACGCTGGCAGTCAGTGACTCCACCCCTGCAGAGTGGGTGTGGTCCAGGTTTGGGTCAGGAGAGACAATGATCCTCTTGAGAGAGCGCAGTAGTTCCAGGGGCTTGCCTTGACTGGCCCAGGTAGGAGCAGTCACACCTGCCTTAGCCTCACCTTCGTCTGCGCTCACCCATCCACCACCGTGTAGCAGCAGGACCAGGGAGAGCTCTGAGGGGTGGGGTGGGTGCCTGGAGCCCAGACTCGAATTCCCCAAGAATTCCAGGGACCGACACCAGCCCTGCCTGCAAGGTCTCAGACCCCGAATCTGGCCCACGTTTTCTCCCTGACCACAGCCTGGCTTTCCCAGGGTCACTGGGAGGAGCAGCTGCCCACACAGAAGGGCCTTGCACATGCCCCTCATGCCACCACACACACCCAGCTTCTCGGTTCCTGCACCTGCTCTGGTCCCCAGCCCGATGCCCACACCTGGGGCAGGCATCAGACCCCACGAGGCGGGGTCCTGGGAGGCCTGGCTGGATCTGGAGAGAAGCCAAGGGGGCAATAAACACTTGTAGGAAGAACCGTGCCAATCCAGCTAGCAGCACGCGGCTGAGCCTGTCAGCCAGGGCACTGCCCAGTGTCCCCACCCTTCTAGCACCTGGCCAAGACTGTCCAGGCCCATTCCTGAGCTCCAGACTTGAAATCTGCCACCCTGTCTTGGGCAGCACCCACCAGGAGTCTTCTGGACACCTCCACACTCCCATAGCCGGGCCCTGGGGAGTCAGTCTGTCCCAGAAAGCCTGTTTATCCGGCTCCCACCCTGGCTGCCCAGTCAGAGATGACGACAGATAGCGAGACTGCCCTCTGGTGACCTTGGGCTGTCGTCTTCACATCAAGCCTGGGCAGAGGTATGATTACCCCTGCTTAACAACTGGGAACAGCGTGTCTCAAAGAAGTGATGGGACACGGGCAAGTCCAAGTCTGGGGAGACAGCAGGGCAGGGCTGTGACCAGCAGCGGGGAAGGGCAGGTTAGTCCAGGCTCAAAGCTTGAGTTCCCTCAGGAGGAGGAAGAAGCCCGGGGCCAGGGCTGCTCTGGGGACCAGAAGGAGCTGCCAGGAATGTCAGGGCCCTGAGCAGGGTTCAGCTGGGGAGATGACAGTGAAGTCTGTAGCTGGGGCATAGATGAGGAAGGGAGAATTGAATCCCTGCAAAGGAGACGGGTCCCAGGCTCCTTGGGAAACTGAAGTGGGAGATGGAGAAATGGAGGCAGCTGCCCGGTAGTGCTGCCCGAGTCACCCACTGGCAGAAGTGCCATGAGGGAAGCGTGCGGCCTGGGGCAGCATCTCCTGCAGAGTGGGCTCCGGCTGCCAGGACAGGACTGCGGGTCATCGCTGGGTGGGCCTAGCAGTGGGCACTGGAAGGCTCACGCAGCCTGTTAGTGTGGTTTAGGAGCAGTCCCAGTCCTCCCCAGACCGCTCCCCAGCTTTTTAATGGGTCCACCTTCCTCTGCTCCCTCTCCCTCTGTCACAGCGCTGGGGATGGAACCCAGGGTCTCTCTCACAAGTCAGGCAAATGCTTTACCCCTGAGCTACATCGCTAGCCCTTTTATTGGTTTAATTTTGAGGCAGGGTCTCTCTCCAAGTTGCCCAGGCTGGCCTGGAATTTGTGATCCTCCCCGCTCAGCCTCCGAGGACCTAGGATTACAGGTGTGTGCACCGCCTGGCTCAGTGAGCCCAATTCTAATGGTATCCAGGGGTGTGGGCTCAGACGCTGGCCCTGAGCATCTGGGCCCTGCAGCTCAGCTGAAGGGCATCCAAGGGGCAGTGCTCTGTGCCCCTGAGCATGGCGTAAGCTGGCAGGCCTGGCCCACTCAAGGACCTCCATCCACCGAGCACCCCCACTACCCTCAGTTTGAAGGTGGTCCCTCCCAGTGGTGACATCAGCCCGCCCTGCTGGGGCCTCCTCTGGTCCAAGTCCCTGCTCCCAAGGGGGCAGGGGGAAGAAACAAGCAGCCTGGTGCCCTTAGAGAAGGGCGGGAACTGGGTTTGTTGGCAGCAGGAAAGAGATTTCCAGAAGTGGACAAACGTGGAGGGACAGTCACTGCCTTGGGACAGGGCTGGGGGATGAAGCTGCAAGTAAGGGAGAGCAAGAAGGGACATGAAAGAGATGTGGGGCTCCCCCCCACCCCCCTTTATTGGAAGGCGGGGAAGGCCAAGCTAAGGCAGGCTGTGGGGGTCATCAGAGGGTGTGCACAGGCCTGGAACCAGGTCAGACCCTCACAGGAGAGTGCTGGAAACGTCCAGCCTAGCGGCAAGGCCAGAGTGCCACTGAGGAGTGGTGGGGACAGGACCCGCTGGGGGAGGCGGAGAGGGGGCCGGGGTACTGCGGCCACCACATCAGCTCTGCGGTGTGGGTTAACAGACCAGATGTAGGGGAGCTGGGGACCACAGGAGGAAGCAATCTGCTGAGGCCCTGAGCTCTGGACCACCCTGAGTCCCTGCCCAGGGATGGCTGACCTCACAGTCCATAGGGTCCCAAAGGCCCCTGGCCATGGCTGCTGGTGAAGGAGTCCTTCCCATCATCCCCTCTGCTGCAGAATCTCCTCAGAGACTGACAGGTGCACATGCTGATGGCTCCACGAGAGAGGCAGGAAGAGGAGCAAAAGCTGCCCTGAGAAAGGCCGCTGAGACCCGCAGGGCAGGGCCGCGCGGTCCCTGTCCCTCTGCTCTTTGGAAGCCACCAGTGCCCATCTCCCAGTGCATCTCAAGGATGAGCCATGGCTCAGAAGTCTCTTGGGCTTCTGAGAAGGGACAGCTCTGTGCTGGGACCGTTGGCAGCACAAAAGTGCCAGGAGCCCCAGGCTCGGATAAATGGGCAGCTCCACATCAGTAGCTGTATGGCCAGGTAGCCTCAGGGAGGGGCACAAAGACTCACCACCCACCCGCAAGAGAGGCCAGTCCCCAGCCTAGACCGAAAGACCATGTCTGGGGAGCAGCCCTTCCTTCCAGCCTGGCACACCACCCACCCAGCCTGAGGGTGGCAGGCAGGGCTGAGGCCTAGGGCTGCCCAGGCTGGACAGGACAGAGCTTGCCAGGAAGGCCCGGCCTGAAGAATGGATCCAGGTGTTCAGGAAAAAGCACTGGACTGGGCCACAGTGGGGCTTGGGCCAGCTCTGGCCCTGTTGGAGGAGTGATCTGGGTTCAGTTTCCCCTCTGAGCGGGTCTGGTGACTTCCCCCTGTCTGTTGGGCTTGTCAGGAATTATGAGTCTGGAAGCTACCCAGATTCCCTAACAATGGTGGGAAGGCCGAAGTCCCAGGGGTGCCTGAGGACACGGAAAGCTCTGTGCAGAGCAACAAGGGCAGGCGAGAGGAAGACCTTCAGTAGTGCGGGAACCAGGGTCAGCTTCCCACACACACACACACACACACACACACCGCACCACACCCCCCGCCCTGTACAAGGTGGGTCCTCCCAAGTTCTCCTAGGGATGGCTGGAAGAGTCTGCGGGTACGGGCCAGGGGAACTGGGGACAGAAAACTGATCACTGAATCCGGTGGAAAGGTGACAAGGGGTCCCTGAGCCCTCTGCCCACTAGCCTCACTGCCTTTCTGGGTTTTCCTGTCCTTCCCTCTCTCAGCCTCTGTACCATTCTCTCTACCCAGTCTCCCACCCCATCGATCCCTCGTACTGAACTTCATCCTGCAAAGCCCCTCCTCTTCTTCTTTTTTGTCTTTTTACAGCACTGGAAATTGTACCCAGGGCCTTTACAGTGCGCTGTATCCGCAGCACCTATTTTTTATTTGGAGACAGGGTCTCACTAAATTGCTACGTTGCCCAGCCTGAACACAAACTTCGTCTTGCCTCAGCCTCCCAGAGTCCACCACCACGCTGTTCAGCAAGCCTCTTCTTGCACACTGAAACTCTCCTCTTCCTGGAGTTCTAGACTCTCTGTTTACAGTGATGCCAGGGATTGAACCCAGGGCATTGTGCGAGTTTGGCAAGTGGTCTGTTACTAAGCCACATCCCCAGCCTAGAGTTCTCCCATCTCTGAAACCCCATCCCATTGCTGTATTTTCCCCCCT